GCAGCCATCTAAGATACTCCATTGGTCTCACCCCTTCGGGAGCAAGGGAAAATGAAGAAAACAAGATATAAGGGAAAGATTAGTCCAAAGGACTAACGGACCACAACTACCACGGCCTCCACCAGACTGAGTCCAGTACAACTAGATGGTTCCTGGCTACCATCGACTGCTTTGACAGGGATCACAACAGAGGGTCCCGGACAGAGCTGGAGAAAAATGTAGAACAAAATGCTAATTCACAAAAAAACGACCAGACCTACTGGCCTGACAGAGACTGGAGAAACCCCAAGAGTATGGCCCCTGGATACCCTTTTAGCTCAGTAATGAAGTCACTCCCCAAGGTTCACCCTTCAGCCAAAGATTAGACAGCCCCATAAAATGAAACGAGACTAATGGGGCACAACAGTCCAGGGACAAGGACTAGAAGGCAATATGTGTACTGTTTAATGAGAAACTATTTGTTCTGTAAATCTTCGTCTAAAAAAAAAAAATGCCCAATTCACCTGTTTTAAAAAAGACCAGATAAAAATGCTTATGTGGTTTGAAGAAGAGATTGTGTGGCTCAGTTTGAAAGAAAAAAAAATGGATTGAGACCATAGTATTATTTTTTTCCCATTTCCCCTTTGATTCTTTCTTCTCCATGCTCTCTGAAAGACTGAGTTTATTACCAATGCTAATTAGCTCCTCTCCTGGCAGCCAATCACCAAGAAGATATGTAAGGTTAGCCATCTGGAGTCCTTTCCATGGAAGGTGAGGAGTGAGCAGGGCTGCTTCCCCTGGCCCACACCTGGGTCTGACAGAGCAGGCCTCCCCTTGGATGGCACAGAGAAAGCCTGCGAGGTCTGACACCTAACACTTCCCAGCTGCATTAACAGAGACGCTGCTGCTTTTCATGTTCATCCTTTCTGGTTGCCAATGCTTTCCTCCTATTTTAAGCCATTTTCCCGTCAACAGGGGCATCCCAGATCCCAAATGAGGAAATGAATTTCAAATATTCCCAGTACCCAGGACAGTGCCTGGCACATGGTAGGCACTTAAATAACTGATGAATGAACGAATGAATATGTGGATAACTTTCACTTACACTGCCTAAGTTTCCCAATTTCCAGACTAAGCACCCCTGAGTTTTTCAACCATTACTCACATTAAGTGGCTGTGCAGGGCCACTCAGCATATGAGGGAAACTGAAGCTAAGGAAGAAATATCTCTTCCTCAACAGCTAGGAGAGGTGAGGTCAGGAAGCCAGAAAAGGAAGTCTGACCTGGGTGTACAGAGGCAGAGAAGGAGGGGCTGAGGGTAGAGTGAGAGAATGAGAAAGACAGGGCCATTGAGAAGGTCTCATACCTGTGTTGCTGGCCCTGGCTGAGACGGGTGGAACCAATGAGCTTTCAAAACAGAGTGCTATCTAACTATAGCATGGGAGTGCTATAGCTGGATACTCACAGATAGAGCCTACAAGTACCAGATAGTGGACTGGCACCAAAGACTTTGAAAATGAAATCTCTCTTTAACCAGCACTAAAGAGTGCAGACCACTTTTTGAGAGGCTCAGAATCACTCTCTACCTTCTTCTCCCTTGCCACCTTGGCTCTTTTTTTTTACCCCTCTAGATGGGCAACCTTTGATTTTCTAAGATAAACAAACAGCCCAAGGCAGGAAGCAGAGTAACCAGGCAACCCCTCCCCCCCAACCGTTCTACCTAAATTTTCTACCTAAATTACCAAAACAAACATTTCAGGAAACTGCACTTGGCTGGAATGGTTGGTGTTATAGATTGAATTGTATCCCCCAAAAATAATGTGATTCCTAACCTCTATGCCTGTGGTTATAATCCCCTTTGGGAACAGGCTGTCTTTGTTATATTAGTGAGGCAGGATTAGCGTAGGGTGTGTCTTGAGTCGATCTCTTCTGAGATATAAAAGAGATTAAACAAACAAGCTAAGAAGCAGAGATGAGGGAAGAGAGATGCCAAGCCACATGAAGATCGCCCAGGAGCAGAAGCTTGAAAGAGGCAAAGACCTTCCCCTCTAGAGCCAACACAGACAGAAAGCCTTCCTCTAGAGCCAGCACCCTGAATTTGGACTTCTAGCCTCCTGAACTGTGAGAAATTAAATTTGTTTGTTAAAGCCACCCATTTGTGGCATTTCTGTTATAGCAACACTAAATAACTAAGACAGAAGGAAAACTCAAATATTTTCCACTAATAGAGAACAACAGAAAAGTGGTGAGTCAGAAGCAGAAAACTTGTTAAGACCCAGAAAAACAACGCAGTCCTGTCAAGTTCCGGCTCTCATAGGTTTCACCGTACTATAATCTTGAGTAATACTTCTCAGTCTGATTTGTAATTCCAGTCAACATAGCAATGGGTCATAGGCTCAGTGAATCCTAACTTTTCCTACCAACTAAAGTCTAGCCCACAGCTGACCTCACCACCCACTTCTGGCTTGCCAGGGTTTGAAGGAACAACTATACGACATGCCTGCACTGATCAAATAAGAAATGGCCAGGTTTGACTCTGAACAGAATTCTTCCCACTCTGCAGACTAGAAAACTCACTCAAACCATAAGGTCCCCCAGGAGCGACCTGACCTCTGAGTTCCTCCAGGACTGCAAAACCAAGGCCCACAAAAGATGGTGTCAGCAAGACCCTGACAGTCAGCGGAGGCTGCCACAAGCTGAAGCTCTTTCCTCACTGATGTGTTTTCCTTTTACAAGTGCCCCACTTGTTAAAAGCACTAAATCTCTTAGGTGGTGTGGACTGCTACTTTACAGAAGCCCAGAGGAGAGAAAAATCCAGGTGGATGAAAGAGAGAGAACAGATAAAATACTATGACCTAAACCAAACTCTTAGCATGTGGTTCCAAACGATATACAGAGAAATACAACACAACCACAGGAATCACAGATAATTGCACACGCAAGAAACAACATGTTCAAGTGCTGTCTCACTGACATACTTCCTCCAGTCCCTGCACTGCTGACATGAGATGGAAGGTTGGTTTGCAATTGAAAAGACCATTATTCTTCAGGGAAGGTGGGAGACAGAGGCTGTTCAGTGGGCTGGAGGAAACACTACTGAGTCTGAAGAGATTATTCACTTGCTGACCTGGGTCAAGCCAACTTCTGAGCTGAGGTCTGCTCATCTGCAAAATGGGAACAGCAAAATCTGTGGAGACACAGCAGCCCGTTGCAATGTAAGGCATATGGGCATTTAAGTAAACCTGGATCTGAATACCATCACTTACTGAGTTAACACTGAGTTACCTACACTCTCCGAAGACATAAAATGGTGATAATACCCAACCTCTGAGGGCTGTTGCAAAATTGAGTAACAGGTGGTAGAAAGTGCTTACTAGTCCCAGACACATACCAAATGCCCAGTAACTTAAAAAGGTCTATAAACACTAAGTGTTCATAATCCTGCCCAGCATTCTACTGAGCACTTTGCATATTTATCTTGTCATACTTGCTTTGTCTACCCCTCGAGATTTTATGGAGATAAACCTGTTCTTATATATAAATTTTGGCACAGGAAAACTCCTGGAAGAATATACAAAAACCAAACCTGCTGCCATCTAGTCTATTCCAATTCATGGCAACCCCAAGTGTTACAGAGTAAAACTGTTCCACAGGGTTTTCTTTGCTGTAATCTTTACGAAAGCAGACTGCTAGGCCTTTCTTCTGCAGCACCGCTGGGTGGGTTCGAACTTCAGGTTAGCAGTTGAGCACAAACAGTTTGAGCCAACTAGAGAGCCTGGAAGGATATACACCAAAATGCTAACGGAAGTTACCTTGGTGCCAGGAATTTTTCTTTTTCCTTACCTTTTTCCAAAATTTTCTACAAACATAACTTACTGAGGTATATTTCCATTTTGCTTTTTTTAATGCCAAAAATACAATAAAATATAATAAAAGTCTGTATTTCTCATGTGTAACAATCTCCTACATGAGCCATTTTTTTTGGAGGTAAGAGTTAATAAATGCTTTGTCTAACCTGAGGAGTCGGCATGTGTTTTTCTTTCCAATACAGGTAGTCCCCGACTTATGATGTATTCGAGTTACAACGAACCACACTTATGACCGTCTTTTTTTTTTTTGTACATCTTGTTAGTAATATGTACTACATACAATGTTGCAGCACGTAATTTGCTGTTATAATTCTCAGATGTTCACTTGCAGATGTTCAAAGATCAGATTTATAAACATACTGATAATAAAAGGCAATGGTAATGAAAACTAAAAAAAAGAGGTATTCAGCTTACATCAGAACTGACTTAAAACCGAGTTGTTGGAACAGAATCCTGTTGTAAGTCGGGGACTACCTGTAATAGGACTTAGCTAACCAATTTAGCTCTCTCTTCACTTTGCCACCAAGGTGGTCTGGGCCAAATTTTACTTCAATCATTTAACTAGGCCCTTATTCTTGGCATATTTCTATTTCATTTCCCCAATCTTGATTCTATTCTAATTTATATTTGTCTTATCCTGATTTCATATTTCTTATTTGTATTTTACTACTTTTCCCAGTGTTTGTCGTAGCTACCTACCCACTGCTGCTGAGTCAATTCCGACTCATAGAGATCCTACAGGACAGGGTAGAACTGTCCTATAGGATTTCCAAGGCTATAAATCTTTATAGAAGCAGACTGTCACATCTTTCTTCTGGAGAGCAGCTGGTGGGTTCAAACTGCCACCCAGCCACACCACATCTTTCGGTTAGCAGCTGAGTGCCTAACCACTGTGCTAACAAGGCTCCTGGTGTTTGTCATAAGCCACCTCAAATCCACTGTGGAAAGGGGTCAGATATACATACATACATACACACACGTAACCACTGATTTGTAAGCACTGCTGTAGCTCATGCACTTCACGCTTTGCCCCTGCATCTGATAGAGGTTTTGGCTAAGACATTAAGTGACAAAATCGTAGGAACCTTTAAAATCTTTTTTTTTTTTTAATTTTCTTAAATTAAAAAAAAAAAGGAAAACTGCAACATCCCCCTATAACAAATAATTATTAAAAAAAAGCTTAAAAGTCCCCTAATAAAAAACTTAGTTTTATTAAATGCTCAATTCTCAAAACTATACATATTTTTCTATTTTAGTTATAAAAATCTCTATTCCCATCTCACCCTTCCTTGCCCACCCCTCCAAACATATTATCCAAGCAACACCAAGACCAACAAAGTCCCCATTCACCCAGGAGCAGGGAAGATTGGAGGTCCTCAGAGACCTAGGTGTGCTCCAAGCATTAACCCACACTCCAGAGCTCTCATGTGGCCAGGGAACCACCCGCAGCATGGACAAGCCTGGACGTAGACCACAGACTCCCAAGGAGATGAGGGGTATTAACAAAAGCTGAGAGGAGAACTACTCTCTCAATGCCCTGGGATAGGATTTAAGTAAGGAGGTCCTTGAACAACCAAAGGCCACACAAGATAGGGTGGCAGAGGTCAATCAGCCAGCTGTAACTTTATGCCACCATTCTCAAACTGGATGGGTGGGAGAAGAATGCAAGCAGACTCCTAACATCATAAACAGGACGGCAATTGGAAAGGGCAGCCTGAGAAAAGACTTTTATAATTTACATCAATTTACAAACACTTAAGATGCCCATTTACTACAAGAGAACAGGCCAAACTCACTACACACAGGAAGGCCTCTGCCAGGGCCTCCTCTCCCTCTCCCATGTCCTCCTATGAATCATTAGGAAGGCCAAACAGCTTCACAGTTCCTGCTTCCCGACTGCTGTCATATTTGCCATCTTTGTCATCACAGGCAAAGGCCAGCAGAGGCCTTTTGGGGTGCCAAGCCACGGTGAAGGTCGGGGACTCACACTGCACCTCCCACAGCTTGTCTCCTACAGAAATCAATATAGAGAAACGAATTAATATGCTAATAACCGGAGCCAACATTCATTACGTACTTACATTAACTCGTTTAATCCGCTTAATAACCTTATGAGAGAGGTACAATCACTACTTCCAATTTACAGAGAACACTGAGGTACAGAGGGGTCACAAGCCAGTAGGTGCCAGAATCAGGATCTGGATTCAAGTAAGAGCCTATGCTTTTAACCCCTGCACTACAATCTCTGAAAAAAGAGTAACAGCAGCTGCCACTTGTTGAGTACCCTTACATATCAGATGGTTTTTACTTTATTGAATCCCAACGACAACCCAGCAAGGCAGGTAATAATTTCAAATCCCACTTTACAGATCAAGAAAGAGGTGACTTAACCAAGTCATAGCTCAAGGAAGCAGCAGAGCCAGCACACCTGCCTCCAAAGCCACAGCTCTACGAAGCCATGTTGCCTTGAAAAAAAATTTCTTTTTCCAAAAATTTTATTTCTCTGACTTGCTGAAGTTATACAGGAATTTTTCAAAATCTTTACTTCCTTTAGCCGTGTATAGCTTTTTTTCAATCTTAGGGTTAAGATTAATGGAATAAAATATTTACAGTGTGGTATTAATTAAAAAGTACGGACACACTGAATTGTATATTCAAATGGGTGAACTATATGGTACAAGTAATGGTTAATTTCATGTGTCAACTTGGCTAGGCTATGGTTCCCAGGGGTCTGGCTAAATACTAGTCTAGCTGTTGTTTCATAATGTAATCTAGTGCAATGCAATGTAATCAACTCCCATAATGTAATGAACAGGAGTTTCCTTAGGGTGTGGTCAGCCTCCAGACTATAAACAGATGTTTTGGTAGAATTCACTCACTCCCCACTCTGTACTCTTTCTATTGCCTGACCTACATAACATGGGACACAAGCCTGCAGGAGTCTCCAGCCTGCTACCTGACCTGCAGATTTTGGGCTTGCCAGCCTCCATAACTGTGTGAGCTAATCGCATGAAATAAATCTCTCCCTCTCACTCTCTCTAAGACAGCATGTCAATTATGTCTCAATAAAACTATTAAAATATTATACAAACACATACACACACATACATAGATATACGTAAGGTTTTTAGTAATTCTATTCCAGGGACAGTTCACAAGCCACTGTTCATGACACTAGAATCTGGCAGTCTACAGTTATACATCTAAGCAAATTTCTGAGTCATGGAGATATAAAGAATGGTTTCTGAGGCTGCTAGCTCTCTCATTTCTCTTGAGGCCTTTAACTCCATGACATTATGGGATTGGTTAAGATAAAGAAAATTACACAGTTCAAGGAAACCCAGAGTAGACATAAAGAGGCCTTCTATAATGTTTCCAAAATAACCGTGTGGCTTCATAAACTTTAAAATCCTGTTGATTTACTGGAAAGTTTACCCTCTGAAAGACACATATGGTACAGACTGTGGAATACTGACATTACTATTTTAGACCATCTAAGTTCCAATGGATTTATGCAATGTGTATGGTGTCTGAAAATGTGAAATAACTGGACTGTGACAAAATGAACATATGTTCTGTTACATATGGTATGGCATAAAAGGAAAATAATTTTTACTTTGTTTTAAACTTAACCATTAAAAATATGCAGGACACAAAAATGTATCTAATATACTCTTCTCCCGTTTTTCTATTTTCAAGTTCTGTTTTCTTTTGTTTTTAAAAGCACATCTACTCTGATAATTCCCTAAAATTCAAAAGATATACATATTCTTAAGTTTACATATAGGTAAAAGATAAAAAGAAATATACCACAACATTAAAAGAGGTTATCTTTAGATGACAGGACCTCAAGTGACTTTTGTTTTTTCTTTCTCCTATGAGTCTGTATTTTAAAATTTTCATTATAATGGAAGAATTAAAGGCTAATATAAAATATTTTCCTAAGCAACTTTCCTTTAGAACTGCCCCTTTCTTTACCAGCTCTATGCTCCCTCATTACCTGACTGTGACATTGATAACATAAACAAACTTAAGGAGACAATTTATGATAATATTTGTGAAGTACTGATGTACAGAGATAAAAATGCATGACACTGAAGAAGTCCTGATGGCCAGGGATCAAAGACATAAGATTCTCGTTAAGGTAGTAGGGGTGTTAGTTACCCGTCTCTACTTCAGCAATGTCAATAAAATGATCTTCCGATGCTGACGCCAGCATCTTCCCATCATGGCTGAAACTGAGGGTCCTCACAGGCCAATCCAGCCTGTAAGATGGGGTGGACAGAAGAAACATTAGAATTCTCCCATGAATAAACACTATTAGGAAGAGACAATTTCACTCAAGATAAAATAAATTAATTTACCCAACAAGGAAAGTGTGGCAGAGTTGCTCACCTGGAAAAGCACCGCACACACACTAACTCGTCCACATCCCAAAGGCTAACCAAAGCATCTGCACTTCCTGTGGCAAAGTACTTCCCCATGGGGTCAAACTTGATGCAGATGCAGTTGGAAGGATGGGCGTTGATGGACTGCACGGGCTTCAGCTCTGGGTAACTGAGAAACAGGACAGACAGCAATCAAACTGCAGGAAGAGGACTGTAGCACTAAGATAATAATAGACCATGAAGAAGAGCAAAGTAAGACAATGGAACAAATGCCAAACACTATAATTCAAGAAAATTTTCCCAACATAAAAAAGATTCAAACTACATACTGAAAGAGCACACCACATATATGAGAGTATGAACCCAGACTAACCAACACCAAGACACATACTAATAAAATTACTGAACTTTAAAGAAAAAACATCCTTTGGCCATCTAGCAAGTAGGGTAAATGTCTTATAAGAAAAAGAAAATTAAACTATCATCAGACTATTTGACAACAACACTTTATGCCAAAACAAAATGGAGTGACATATTTAAGATACACAAGGTAGAAAATGTGAGTCAAAGATTTTTATATCCAGCAAAACTGACTTTCAAATATAAAGAACACAAATAATAAGCACAATAAGTATAAATAAGCAGCTACCAATAAGTAAAAACTCAGGGAATATTGTTTCCATAAACCCCTCCTGAGGAATCTTAACTAGAGAATGAGCTTCAACAATCAAAATTACTGCAGACCCATCAGCATAAGTGCTGACGGTGAAGGGTACAATATTTAACAGCTATATACTCTGACAATATATAGTACCAACTTTTTTTTTTAATTGGGGATAGCATATACAAAAAACACATTTTTTAGTGTTTTAAGTAATCACGTTGGCGGTGGTGGTGGTAGTACTGTTATTATACGTGCAAGACGGGATAAAGTTAACAAGTAACTATGGGATATTCTAGTTCTATGATCCTCCGAGTCCCTGAGAACTAGAACACTCATTTTGGAAGATATATCTATAATATAGGAGAGTTTTAATAAAATAATTAAATAAAATAAAATAATTTAATAAAAAAACT